AATGCTTCCCTTTGATTTCTTTACCCCAGTGGATCAACTGCTCAACATATAATGATCTTGTCTTGAAAAGCTCTTGTTGGAAGCCATGAGATAAGAATGATCCAACTTTGGTAACTGACCGGTGTCTCAGCCATCCACTCACACAAGTAATAAACTAGCTTTTACAATCTGTAACACAGCTGTTGTCAAAGAACAACTGCCCTTCATCCTTTCAATGGACCTCTGCCTCTGGATAAGAATGAGGCTGTCAGGGTTCCGGTAATTGCCCAAATTAAATCATGAGCCTCGAGCCAAGCTTCAAAAGAATCTAAAAGATTTATTAGGAACAACATGTCAGCATTGACCCATATGAAGCCAACTCTGCCACACATAATTTACGGTCACCTATGACCTTGTTCTCTCCCCCCCCCCCCCCGGGTGTATCATAAATCAGATTCTCCAACAAGCACATTGAGGGCTAGGTGTCAGCAATCACATTCTCCAATGAAGGATTTTCACAGGCAGAAGATCCAGTGCTTAGGCTATAATCTTTGTAAAATAAGCATGGAATGTACTTGTTTTTAATTGCCATACTGTTCCTTTATGTTCCCCCCCACCATCTACTTATGGCAACTCGGAAACAGGCATAGGAATGCTTTACGAGTTGACAGAGGCCCTTGACAGAATCTGGCGAACTGGCGCCTTGTGGCCTTACTCAGAGGTGGTGTTCAGCAGGTTCTGACCAGTTCTGGAGAACCGGTAGTAGAAATTTTGAGTAGTTTGGAGAACCGGCAAATACCAACTCTTACTGGCCCTACCCCCATCTATTCTCTACCTCCTGAGTCCCAGCTGGATCTTTTTTTGTTGCCCTGCACAGGAGAACAGAGCTGGAAAGCAGGTTAGTGGGGTGGGGGTGGGGAATGGGATTTTGCAGTATCCTTCCCCTGCCATGCCCACAGAACCGGTAGTAAAAAAAAAAAAATCGAATCCCACCACTATAGGGTTCCTTGAGTTGTCTAGTGCAGGAGTGGGGAAACAATGGCCCTTTTACTACTTATGGACTTCAACTCCCAGAATTCATTCTGGCTCAGGAATTCCGCGAGTTAAAGTCCACAAGCCATAGTTTCCCCCGCCCCCCATTCTAGTGCTACCAACCTTCCTTTCTGCTCAATTTCATCCTCACCTGAAACTTTCCCCATTTCATGCCTGCCCCCACAAAAGAGCCTTTCTTAATTCAATTCCTTCTTCTCCATCTCCACCCCCTCCCTTTTAACGTCCTCTGCCCTCCCCAACAGAGCAAGGCAGCCAGAGATGTTGACTTCTTACCCCCGTTGTAAAATTAAGCCTGGCAGACAACAAGAAAGACAGCCCTCAGGCCCTTCTTCCTCATTACTTCTCCTTTGCACATCAGCGTCACGCAGCCATGTCCTGCTGAGATGATCAGCTGAAGCGCAGCTACAGCACGGAAACTGTGCGAGGAGGCTGTTTCTTGAGGACACTTCAGGCTTTCACCACCAGCCAAGGTGTGGAGGTTGTGCACTCCTGTAATTGGGATGACAATTCAACAGGCACTGATGCTTTCACGAAATGGAGAGGCGCAGAAGGGACCTGGACCTTGCTAGCTCTAAAGGGGACAATTGGTTTCTAACCTCTTGTTGGTTTAAAAGCTTTAAACCCAGCTCCACCAACGTCAAGGCATCCTTCCTACAATTGACAAAACCCCCTTTGGAGCACTCAAACGGATAGATCAACTGCCCAGACAATTCACATCAATTGAAAGTCGTATTTTTATGTCATACTTTTCCGCACAGGAACAATGGATAGTCAGTGGAGTGGTGTGGTGGCCTAGAGGTGGAACTGTCACCTCACAATCAGGAGGCCGTGAGTTCGATCCCAGGCAGAGGCAGATCCTTCTCTCTCTGGGCACGTTGAGAATATATCTGCTGAATATAACTCAGCATTGGTGACAGGAAGGGTATCTGGGCCAGTAAACACTCCGCTCCATTCAGCTGCCTAGACTCTACCCCGCAAGGGATTATGAGGTCGTTAAAAGGAGATAACGGATTGTCAATGAATGCCATCAACTTCAAGGCCTGCCTTAAAATTTTCTTCATATCTCTAGAAAAGCTCCTGTATAACAAGGACCATATTCTTTTTTTTCTGGCTGGGATTATTTTGTTAAATTATTTCTGAGGGATTAAGACAAGGGTGCCCAACCTTGGTAATTTTTAAGACCCCTGGACTTCAACTCCCAGGATTCCCCAGGCAGCCATGCTGGCTGGGGGATTCTGGGCAACAAAGTCCACAGGACTTAAAAGTCACCAATGTTTTGATACCCCTGGATTAAGAATATAGCACTGACCAGAAAGCATGACCAGAAAGGCAAGTGTGGACTTCAACTCCCAGAATTCACACTGGCTGGGGAATTATGGGAGCTGAACTCCACACATCTTAAAGTTGCCAGGTTTGAAAAAAGAAAAACTTTATATCAATAAAAGCCACTTTCCAGAAAAATCTCCATCCGTAGTGCGTTGTTTGCATCAGGCTTCTGAAAAGTCAAAACCTTGTATTTCTTTCTGCTCAGTGATTTACCTAAGTGTTTCTATTAGTCTATGTGGATCTTCCATCTATTTCTTTTAAGGTTGGTGAGGGATTTTTTTTGGTTTTTTTGCCTAAAATGCTCATCATCTGCTTTTTGCTGCCATCTAGTGAGCAGTTAGCAGAACTAAAATATTTGCATCCCAGAGTTAAAAGGTTCACCTGCTTTTTATACAGCTTTGTTTGGTGATGGCTCTTCTCACTCACATCCCTAATTTAATTGTGCCATGTTTCCCTCTGCCAGAGCTTTTAAAGTTCTGCATGACAGTATCCTCAGCTCACCAGAATGTCTTTTGAATGTCTCCCCTTTTAAGCTTTTCTTAATTTGGGGGATAGCAGGACGTGCTATTTATTGCTTGTAGTACTTTCCTCTCCCATATGCTATCAGCATTCCCCCTCCCTTGCTCTGCTATCAGCTGCCCAATATCATTATTATTAAATATAATTGCTTCCCCAACAAGCCTCACCTGATGCCTTCCCTTGAGATTTTAATGGAGCTAGGAAGACAAGGAGCCTACAGAGATGACCTACATATGCATCCCTTGTTCACTTTTGGAGCACCCAGCTAGCAATTCCCCACCCCCTTGTAATCTTGTTCTCGGATAACATTGTGTAAACAAATTCTTTCATCAAAATAAGAACCAGGAGGAAAAAAATACACAAAAAAGCCAGTTTGGTGTAGTGGTTAAAGCATCAGATAAAAAACCAGATCGCCTTGAGTTCTATTCCTGCCTGACACATGAAGCCAAGTGAGTCATCTTGGGCCAGTCATTTTCTCTAGGAAGGAGACATTGGCAAACTACTTCTGAGATCTTGCCAAGCAAACTAGAGATTTGTCAAGGCAGGAAGCAGGAGTCAACACTGATTCAAAGGTACTTGTACACACACACACACACGCACAAATAGATGCTTCTCACAGCTCTGTTGATTGCGCTGTTCAATTTTTTTGTAGAATGCATTATTGCTGCAATTTCAGCTACAAAAAATATAGAATTCCCAACAGAAGGTATGAGAAAACCTGAGGTTTCTGTACTCAAACATCCTCCAGCCTAAACCAACATAAACCAAGTCAGATGATGACACTGTAGTGTGGTATTTTCAGGATGATGGGTTTCCCTACTTCTATTTTAGACAATGTAATTTCAACTGCCCTACATAACACAGGAACACAGAACTATCAAAACTCAAATTTATTTCAAACGTTAGGATTTCACAGATGTGTTGCGTCTCATTGGCAAATGCTACCATTTCTGAGGTTTTCGCGAGTATTTGTATGTGGATCTTTGGTTATTTGGGTTTTCTCCCGCGTAAAATTGGAAGTATCTAGGCGACGTTTCGATGAAGTCTCATTCATCATCTTCAGGCTTGTGTCTTCGGCTTTGTGCTTCTCCAAGAAGCACAAAGCGGAAGACACAAGCCTGAAGATGATGAGACTTCATCGAAACGTCGCCTAGATACTTCCAATTTTACGCAGGAGAAAACCCAAATAACCAAAGATCCATATGTGTGTGTGTGTGTGTGTGTGTTATTCAGCTTTGTTCGGGTATTTTCCCACATCATTATAGTTGTGCTTTTAAAGTTTAAAAGCACAACTATAACTTTAAAAGCACTACAACTATAATGACGTGGGAAAATACCCGAACAAAGCTGAACAACATATATGTAAGTATCCGCGAAAACTTAAGAAAACACACATGTATGTATGTATGCATGTATGTATGGCATTCAGCTTTGTTCGGGTATTTTCCCACGTCATTGTAGTTGTGCTTTTAAAGTTGTAGC